GTCTTCTGCTGCTGCTGATCTGACATAATGCGTTCGCCACGTCTAAGACAGTTAACATTGACTGCTGCAATCTCCTCGTCTGTGTCTGTGTCTCTGTGTGACAACCTTGTGACGTCTTGGTGTGTTGAGAGTCTCGCAGGTGTTCTTGTTTCAGCCAGCCGAGAAGGAAGAGCCCTATCTTATCTTGAAACTCAACATTGAGCTAAACTTTCTTCTCTTCCCCTTTTCTACTGTCTCACTGTCTGTTTTCCGCCATTGCTGTTTCGTCTCTGCGTTAATATTATACTTTTTCTCCTTTTTTTCTAATTTTTTAAACCGCTTTTATTCGCAGTCCTTCCACCTCTAGGCTATTTAAAACACGTTAGTTCCCCTTTCTTCTACTTTCCCACCATGCAGGTATGGTAAATCAGTCTATTATCTGGGTGACCTTAAAGTTTTGATAAGGAAAAGAAATCTGACAACATCAAATTTTAATTCTTAAAAAAAAACTTTAACCTTGCTTAATGTTAGGCAAATTTTATCGGAAGAAGAACTTACGTTCGGATCTATAAGAGATGGAAGACAGCTGGACAGAGGCATAGACTATAGCCCAGGACAGAAATACAATATGGAGTGCTCTTATTGGTGGTACGTGGTGAGAAAGGTTGATGATGATGATGATGATGATGATGATGATGATGATGATGATGATGATGATGATGATGATGATGATGATGATGATGACGAAGAGGAGGAGGAGAAGGAGGAGGAGGAGGATGGTGTTGGTGTTCAATTAAGAGGCGTGCTGCTTCGACCGGGGAGTGTGGGATAGAATATTCCAGCAGTTAGACGGGGACACTCGAAGACCCAAGAACCAAACTCCCGTCTTCTGTGTGCAACAGCTCGCTCTGACGTTGTGGCCTTGGGAAAGGCACTTTACACAAATTCCCCATTTTGGGTCTGTCCTTTGTCGGAGATGGACGTTAATATCGGAGGTCCCGCCTTTTAAATAACCTAGGAGTGTTGATAAGGGCGTTAAACCTATGTCATTTCACCATTCTTTGTGTGTGGGTAACAGCGAAAAGCATAACCATTGCACCATAGACGCCAGAGGATGGTCAGTGGTGAATGACAAGTGGTCGGTGGTAAGTGGCCGGCGGTCAGTGGTATTCTTTTAATCATGCTCACTTAAAATTACCGCTTACACACAGGCAGTGGCCTATCTCAATACTCAGGTAAGTTGTGATGACAGAACAAAATGTCAAAATCGATATTATGTGCGGGGCATTGTGGTGAAATCAGGTGCTTGTTAGAATAATTAATTCGAAAAACTCGACATTTCTCCGCCTGTTGGGTAATTTTTATCGCTTTATTTTATTTATTTTTTGGTGCCAAACACCTTTCATGTTGATTTAAAAGTAAAAGCACATTTCTGTGTGGATTTTTTAAATTGAAAAACGATGATCAAAGATAGACAAAATGTAAAATTGCAGTTTCTAAGACACTCAAGCTTGGGAATTTACCAAACTTGGGTGGCATTTATCCCCAAATTTTATCTCTGACTCCATGCAACTATCACCTCCTTCAATCCCAAATATCTTAATGTCTATACAAAATAGATGGATATTTTTTGCAACAAAACCAAGGCAAATGAACAAGCTTTATGATTTACCAATAGCTCAATATGCCATAAAAACTGACAAGCGCCAGATTCTCCCGCGTCGAGGCACATTTTGTTATTATGGCTTTAGTTGCTCGGCAGGACATGACGTGATGTTTACTGGAATACAGAGCATAGTACTGTTACTTGTTGGTTATGGAGACAACCTCAGAACGTTACCTCGCGTTTCTTCATTAGGATAATGGGCATCATTGATCTGAGAGATCCCGCTTTTGTAATTCATTAAAACTGTATATCCGTTCAAATGATTCTTTTTTTTTCAGAGGAGACAAAAACGATTAAATTTTGTCTCACACATTCACACAGACATTTTGCATATGAACTTACGAATCGCGTAATAAAAGCAGGTTTTCCAACTGGCTGAAGCTTACTGACCTCCACTCACACTATGGAGTGAACATGGAATCGACAACACTCGAAACATTCCGGACTTTCGAGTTTAGATAATTTCAAATAGGGTTTATGACCCTAACGTGCAACTTTCCAGGCAGTTATTATTCAGTTTGAAGCGACTATAAGACCACTGGGCTGGAAACAAGGAGTGTGCTGTCTCGGACCCGAATCACCACGCCAAGTAGTACTGTGATGTTGCACAACAAGACGAGGTTATGAAAGAGACATTTTTTTCTGGAAATTTCCATTTTTCTTCTCCGACTCAAGACATTCCTATAAGAGATGCACAAATGTACTTTAAATCTTGAGCCCCCCTCCCTCTAAAAAAAGAAGAAACTATACAATAACCTGCAAGGGGCCTATTAACTTATTTATAATGTATCACAATACAAAATGAGACAGAACATATTCGTTGAAAAACAAAATTCATATTTATTGGAACGCTGAAAAATGCGATTTCTTTTTCTTTGGGGGAGGGAAAGTTGTTCAGGTGACGTGTCCTTCTGTCTTTCCGCTGGAAATTCAAAGGGGTGGGGGGGGGGGTTGACGGTTGACGGGGGGTGGGGACGGAAACGGGAGTAGGGGGTGGTTGAGGTGGGAGATTTCTAGGAGACAATGATGACCGGTACGGTGAAGCACGTAACTGTGTCAGAGCCTGTGTGTAACTCCCACTGGACGATCACAGGGATCTGAACGATGGGGGGAGGGGAGGGGGGGGGATAAACCGGGATTAGTAGGAATTTTTTTTACTGTGATCAATGTTTTGAATAAATAGAAAGAAAGACAGATAGGCAGCGCATATTCCTGCTCAATAATGTGCTTTACAATAGATAGATAGATAGATAGATAGATAGATAGATAGATAGATAGATAGATAGATAGATAGATAGATAGATAGATAGATAGATAGATAGAAAGAGACAGAAAGAGAGAGAGAGAGTGGGAAAGAGAGAGAGAG